CTTGGGGTGAATGCATTCTGATACGTATGAAGCTCTTCTTTACCTAAGTTACTATTTTGTAACAGAGAGATTTCTGCCTCTATTGTTTACGCCGACCCCTTCCCCCACCTCCTCTTTGTCAAGGGGCTATTCAGATGCGTGGACTTTGGGTCGGTACATCCATAAGCTACAATGCTGTTGTGTAACTTTYCCTTCTGCTCTATTTCCCCCTCTGGATGCCTTTCTTACATCCCAATTTTACATTGAAGGCTAAATACTATATTCTGAAAATGGACCACAGGACTTCCTGTTTCTCACAAGAGTTGGAGGGAGGGAAAGCAAGAATGGAGGGCCAGGCCGCAAAGTCCTTGTATGCCACCCTTAGGAGTCTCTCTCATGTTAACAGCTTTGATTTTATGTAATCAGATTTGCAGTTTAGAATATTCACTCTGGTTGCAAAGTGGGAAATGGCTTGGACAGGGCAAGATTGGAGTCAGAGGGGCTCATCGGGGACGTATGGGAAGTGCAACTGAGAGCTAATGTGTCCTGAAAGAAAGTGATGGGGACAGGGGTATTAGTGATCACCAGTAAGTTACTTAAATGCAGGGTGTGTCAGCCAGATTTCTGTCATTGTGACAAATACCTGAAATGATGGAAGTTTTAAGGAGGCAGAGTTGATGATTTGGGCCCACAGCTTCAGAGGTTCAGTCCATGGTCACTTGGCCCCATCCCTCTGGGCACTTTGGTAAGGCAATAGAACATATTGTGGGTGTATGTTGCTGTAAAGGTCTTCCCCTCATGGTGGCCAGGGAGCAAGAATAGAAACAGAAAGGGGCCAGAGTCCCAGTGCCCCTCCAAGGACACACACCCAGTGACCTAACTTCCTTCCGCTAGGCCCCACCTCTCAGAGATTCCACCATCCCCCCCCCCACAGCAGCACAAACTAAGGATCAAGGCTCCAAGACACATGTTTTTGGGGGACACTCCAGATCAAACTGCAACCCAGGCCTCCTTCCTGGTTCAGCTGCATGGTGCTGGTGAATGAATGAGCTGTAAAATGACCACTGAGTGTGAGTGAAGAGGATGAGAGCACATGGGCCTTGGCTGGAGATCAAACTAGGGCCTCGTGCACACTAAACATGCACTCTTCTCCTGAGCTACCCCCAGCCTCTCACCTCTTTTTTTTCTATCCTGACCTCGGAGTAAATAAAACTGTACCAAGTGCGCTCTCTGCCAAGACTGGGGCATAGAGAGGTGGAAAGAGACGAAAAAAATCAGGAAGAAAGAAACTTTGAGATACACAGGAGATTAAGAGGAAATCCTAATAATTGAAAAGGAAAGTGGGTAATTAATAGCTGAATAGTAAGGTAGACTTTAAGACTGCAGGAAAATAAAAGTTCCCCAAACAAATAACGTGTGACCTGAATTGCTAGGTGCCCCTGCCCTCATCAAGTGATGACTTGTGAATTCACCCTATGAAATGACAGAGAGGGGGCTTGGGCCTCTCTGATATGTTTTCCTAATCATATTTTTAGCTTTAATCACTTGGTGCAATTAATGATAGAAAATGTGATTAATAAGTAACAGGACGGTATCACAGGGACAGAAAGTGATGGGGAGAAATTCCTATTTGACAAATATCTGCACAACAAGTCACCAGGGATCCTGTTTTCCTTAGCTTTTGCATCACTGTGATCAAAACACCTGACAAAAACGACTTTGAAGAGGAAAAGTTTATTTGGGACTCAAGGTTTCAGAGGTCTCAGGCTATAGACAGCCAACTCCACTGCTCTGGGCCCACCTCCTCCAGCCTTGCCCTTCCTGCCTACCGTTACCACCCAGTCAGTCCATTCAAACTAGAATGGACCAATCAGGTCACAGCACTCACAATTCCATCATTTTGCCTCCAAACATCCCTAATTAACAGGAGCTTCATATCCAAAGCATAGCATCCTGGATCCCTCCTCTTTTCAAGTGAGGCCAATGACAATTGTACAAGGCAACGTCAGAGAAGCTCATCAGGGTCCCTCAGTAAAACAGAATCCACCCTTTCAATTCAGAGAATTGATTCCACACTTGTGGGAAACAGAAAAGGTAACGGGGCAACTGAGGAAACACAGGAACAATAACTGTAGGAAGTAGCTAGAACTGGGGGGGGGGGGGACAAAGGACAGTCATTGAGGTTCTCAGAACCTAGCTGCTTGTAGGAGGAGGTGGCAGGAGTGAGGGTTCAGACCTCAGAGGCAGGGACTGACCCCAGGGGCTAGCAGGAAGCACAAGCAGCTGGAAAGAAGGGCCTCCTCCTGCCCGGCCTCCTCTTGCTGCTGTTGGAGAATATTGCAGGGCCCTGGCCAACAGGACTGATAAGTCCCAGTGAACAGATGTGTGATTGATGATGAGAGATCAGAGCTGAGGAATCTTCCAAAAGAAAGCTTCAGAAAAATGGACACTAAGGTCTAAAGAAGGTGGATACCACCAGTATACTAGAAGCTTCTGGAAGGTTAAGGCTCAGCAATGTCTTTGACTCCATGACTCCCTTGGCATGGTGGGGCATTCCCAGCATCTTTTTTTTTTTTCACCCCTATGAATTCTCAGGATATGGTGGTATGGGTAGCAGGGAAGTCAGACAAGGTCTGCTGCCCCTGGAAGGGTTTCTGCGAGGATGTCAAGGGGAATGAGTTCTCGAAGGACAGCTGGACTCCAAAGCTTCTTGCATACCAGGCCCTCTTCTGCTTCTCAGGAGTGCAGTGCATGTGGCATCTTGCACTGACCTTGCGTAATAGAGCTAGAAACACAGTGTGCCAGTTACAGCCTGGACTGTCACCTCAAATTTCCTGACCACTGGACGCTTCCATTTTCTCATCGGTCAAATAATGAGAATAGTGGTTTTCACTGACCTCATGGGGTTGTCATGAGGATTTCCCATCAATATGGGAAAGCTCTTGTCAGACTTGACAGAACCAAATGCACTCAGCTCTTGGTATACACTCTCCATGATTATCATAATTAGTGCTGTCCCAGCGTACCTACTTTATCACATTAAAGGGAGTTTCTGATGTTGCTTACATTTAGGTATATTGTGTATTTTGCAGTTGAGTTTTTATTCACTTACTGCAGCAGCACCACCGGGCAGAATCTCTGTGGCTGAGCCCACATACGCTTGCTGGAGAAGGATACCGAGCCCAGATTCTTAGCCAAGAAAGGCTGTCTTAGATGATTTAGCCCAGCAGCCACAGTCTTTGAATTTGGGGTTCGAAAGCCCTGCTGTGATCATTTCTAAGGACAAAATACCTCCATCCTTCATGTGTTCCCCCCTAGCATCATCCTTTGGGCTGAGGAATGAATAATTTTTCTTGGAAACATAAGGAGTTATGTTCAAGTGYTATTATTTTCTCATTATAACAACTTACCAAGACTATAGTATCAGTTGATGCTTTTTAACAATAAGTAGATTTTTTAAAGCTTTTTAATTTTTACAGGAGAGCTCTTTTGTGGGTTTTTTGTTTTGTTTGTTTTTTTGTCATTGCATAGTTGTTTGTTGTTTTTATTGGTGTGAAGGTAGAAATTGTTCACAAATCTAAACAGGACTTCGGAAGCTCTAAGAGGGACTTATGTTTGGGAAGGGTTAAGTGTCTTCAGTTTATGGCAATGATATGTGAGGCTGTGAAAAAGAAAGCAGCCATGAAATACATTTTTGCATAAAGGTTTAAAATTTATTAGAAGGTAAAAATAATTGAAAAAGCTGAGCCTTCCTTGTTGTGTTATAAAAATTTATTTATGTGCCATCATCCTGCATGTTTAGGAGCATGGGTCCTTTTCAGAGGCTATTCTTAGAGAAACAAGAAGAAAGCTCAGCTATTAAAGCTATTCAGTTGAAAAGGCTGACATATATGCACAGCAATCTGAAGATCATGGCCATATTAAAACAATTGGTAATAATAGTTAAACTGCTAGGGTCTGAGTTTTGAAGCTGTAGAAGCTCAAAAGGTATGTTCTGTGACAGCTGCTTACAAAATATGCACAGCCTGCCCTTTTATAATAGAATGGTAGATTCACAAAGTGGTATTCATTGTTGGGGTTCCATTAAGACCTTCACATTCAGCACCAATTTTACAATTTGCCTGCAATACATAAAACTGCATGGGTCTTGCTTGATGATCTTAAAGAACTCAGATCCTTGGCCAAAAGAGAAAGTGCAGGACTCAGGGTGTAGCTCAGGGGTAGAATGCATGCTTCACCTGCGCAAGACCCCGAGTTCGATCCCCAGCACTAAAAAGAAAGAGAAAGGAACAGAACGTGCAAATTTTTAATTACATTCATGAGGCTAAACTACCTTCCTACTACAGCAGTGTACCATACGTTATCTCCCTATATCCTTTCAACTCCCAAAAGTGACTGTTGGGGCTTTGAATTGGTCTCCCCAAAGACCAACAGACTAATTCACCACTGAGCAAGAAGAGAAATCTTCTTTTTTTGGCACCAGGGATTGAACCCAGGGGCACTTACCATTGAGCCACATCCCCAGCCCTGTTAACTCTTTATTTTGAGACAGGGTCTCCTGCATTGCTGAGTCTGGCTTTGAATTTGTGATCCTCCTGCCTCAGCCTCCCAAGATGCTGGGATTACAGGTGTGCACCACCGCACCTAACTAGAAGAGATCCATTCTTAAAGACCTCTACTTACCAGTGTTTTTCCGTCTTCTTAAAGCAACTTCATTATACACGATCTTTTCTCCTCCCCTTGGTAGATGGGGTGCTCCTAATTCACAGGGAGAGGTATTGGTGCCCTCAAACACTGGCCATCTTTTCACTTTCATCTGTTCTTGTTAGAGTTAAGACTTGTCCAGTGAGAGGAAGATAGAAAGGCTTATTGACTCACTTGAAACCTTCCCATTTCCATTTTGTGAATACACCGGGAAAGTATGTGGATAATCTCCTCCAAAGTCCTGATTTAACAGTGTGCCTTTAATTTGATGACAGCCTGAATTTGCCTCCTGGTTTTCTGTCTTCTTTGTTCATCAGGAATTCCTATGCTGAAGATAGTGTTTGCCGGCCATGAGCATCTCTCATTAATATCTGTACCCTTGCTCATCTACCACCCGGCCCAGATCCTTCTGGGAAGTGTGTTGGTGCCAACAATAAAGTCCTGGATGGTGTCAAGGCAGAAGGTGAGACTAGAAAGATCTTATTCGGATCAAGATCAGATTAAAATGTGGTGCCTGGATCTGAGCTGTCTGTGTTCTTCCACYTTTGCTAACATCACTCTCAGGTACATCTTCTCTTAACTAGCTACAACAGTAACGATGCATCCATCAATTTCCATTTGAACAGAAGGGTTGGTTGTTAAATGTTTTCAGTTGTTATACTTAAAATGCAGTCTTTAAATGCTCCTTTTAATTCACTCCCACTGAAGAGTATATTGCAGGTGGTACTCCAAATATATGCCCCTCTTCTTGTGCACACTGTCTTTGCCCCACCCAGTCTTTCCTCTGTGTCCTGATTTCACATGCCTTTCTAAATATGGTAGAACTTGGTTTTATCTAGAATGTTAACTACATTTCCAGTTTCCCAGACACATAATAACTTCTTTGTCTGGCAAAACTGTGTTTGGGTGTCAAAAAAATAAGTAGCAAAGGAGTGTGCACAATTTTAATTTCAACACACTTAGCACAGAGTCTGGCTACATGTTAGCTCTTTGTGAATTTCATGTCCTAAATTATTAACCAAATTAAGTCAATCAGTTATTCAGAGAAGCTCAGATGATGCATAGAACATGGTAGCACTGCTAGAGCTTGCTCCTTCCCAGTGGCTTGGACATATCATGACTTATTTTTGTCTGTACATGAGGCAGTGACTGTTATCAGATTTGTGGGAAGAAGAAGCATTCAGTGATAAAAACACACGGTGTAGTGTCCCTGCTGTCCTGAAAGCACAATGGCCACAGTACCTACACGACCCATTAGCTGTGTGTTCTGAGCAGGTCCATCCTTTACCTGGCTCAGAGGAAGGACCTTGACCAACCTGTCTGGGCCTAGTCCCTATCAATGACCATGTTCATAACAGACTTTGACTCCCCATTTTACAGGTTAGGAAAAGGGCTCAGAGAATTGAATGAATTGCCAAGGTCCTGTGGGTAGCTTAGTAGGTGCAAGATTTAGGACTCGGGCCACAATACAGCAACACTCCAGACAAAAGTAGGACATCACTTCTAGAAGGCTCACCGAGCTAGGCCCTCAGGATCCTACCTGAGAAGGTTAGCCCATCCAGTGTATTCACTAATTCAGTTAGTTAACAACATGTTAGTGACTGCTATTCTGTCTGGCACCACTCCTGGCTCTGAGCCTTTTACTCAGAGTTAGCAGAGTAGTAACTTAGTGTCTTTTTCTTTCTTCTACTCTTCATCCCCTTTGAAGACTCTTTTATCTTTATTTTATGTTTATCAATGTGTGTGTGCATTGCTGCTCAGAATGTATACATATAAATTTTGACAAAGAATGAAGAAAATTGAAAATCCTAATACCCTTATCAGCAATGTGTTGCAGTAGTGAACAGCAAGTTAAATCAGAGTGGGGTTTCCTTCTAAATGTTCCAAAACTCTGAGATTTATTCTACAGAGTAACAGAAGCACTTCCAAAAGGRAGACTAAATTGAACAATACTGTTCATTTTCCCTTTGCACAGCAACCCTGGCCAAGTTGGAATTATCCAAAAGGCCTAGAATATTTGACCACTAAAATAAATACCAAGAGTCCATCCTTAGGGTATCCAAGAGTAACCCAGAGGCATACTTCCTCAGCTTTGCAAACGATGCTGATGAGAGTGAAAGCCACCATCTGGTGCAGAGCAGAACTGTACAAATAGCCAGGCAGACTAGGGGCAGATGGAAAAGTCTGCTGGCCAGTGAGGTGGGCAGGGAAATCTGAATGCAGAGGTTTGGATTACTGGTTATATAATGCATCCGAGCGAGTATGTCAATCAGCTTTCCATTAGATAGTAATGGAAATACTGAGATAATCAACTTACAACAAGAAAAGCTTTATTTTGACTCCCACTTTTGATACTTTGGCCTGTAAAGAGGCAGCACACCAAGGTGGGAGAATGTGGTAGAGCACTTCACCTCATAGCCAGGAAGCAAAAAGGAGAGGCAGGAAGAGACCAGTTTCCACAGTCCCCTTCAAGGGCATGTCCCAAAGCCCTCCCACTAGCCCCCTCTCTTAAAGGTCCCACCACCTCCCACGAGCACCAACTAGAAACCAAGCCCTCAACACACAGGCCTGTGGGACATTCCAGATCCAATGTGCAACAGTGGGCTTCTTCCTTCTGGTAGGAGAAATTACCTGGCGTCCATTTCACTTGATTCTGGATTCTGTCCAGCTGAATAGCGTCTTTTCCTTTCTTACAGGGAGTGAAGTTGACGAGGCCACCAGTGTAACAGGAGGCGCCTTCGTGCAGCGGTGTAAATATGTACAGGATTGTACATACAAACAATTCTGAAGACTTGTACTTGTGAATGTTGCTTCGATGCATATTTTATTTTTTTACAGAAAAATATGATACACCTGTTCAAGTGCCTTAAAATGTGTCCAACGAGAGCGTCATCTCCAACACATACTCGTTGGCTGCTGCCAGGGCTGGTGCAGTATTTGAGTTAGTGTTTTTCCCTAATCCGAAAGCAGTCAGTAAGGGATGGAAAGCTAACCGGTTCTCCTGCGCCACCTTTTGTGCAGTACCACTCCGGAAAGTTACTGTAATGCTGAAATGAGGTCACACCGTCAGGAAAATACCCTCTGATGACAGTGAAAACTTCCAAAGTCTTACTCGCATGTACTTTGATTCACTGCGTGATTCTTTTTTTCTACAACTGTGACATGTCTCTTCCTTATCAACTCAGCAGGGGTCATGGATCCAATAGATGCTGAAACGTAAGATAGCTCTGCATTCCTTGACATCGTGTTTTTTTTAGACATTCCTTCAAATAGTTTCCACACAGAAATTCTTCAGTCCCATCAGAAGAGATTGTGGTGTTATATCTTAAATTTATTATAAGCTGCTTCAAAGAAAGGGCCTGATGTTTGAGTTATGTGTGAAGCACATGAAGTTTTGAGGTAAACTACAGGATTTCRAGGGTTTTAATTATATTGTGATATGTTTTGCCTCTTTCTTCCATAATTTCTTTCTCACCTGTTTCTCTACAACTTGCACACTCCTAACAGCCAAATGGGAGACACAAAAATGTTACCATCCRTTAGACAGCAGCAAAGAGATTATATTCACATTCCGCAACTAWGCCCAAAATTCTTTTCCTGTTACACAGATGTGCTGACCCCTTACCAGATTGCCCCTTTTTGCTGAGAAGCAGCCTGTTACATCCTTGGATTAAGCACATTTAYGGCATTTGAGGCCATTAGTTAGTGAGAATTTCCTTCTCTGATCTGACAGATGTTTGCAACATTTTTTAAGAAGTTAATGATTGCTCATATGAATAAATGAAAATATAAAGGTCATGGATGCAAACAAACGTTACATGTACACACTCTATCTAGCCAGATGGAAAGAAAGACACAGGAAATGCAAGACCATTCATTAACCAAAATATCAAGTGAATTATGCCCATAATTTAATAATGTAATCGAGCATCAGTTTTCAAAGGAATATCCAATATTTGCTTTTTTTATGGGTGGAAGAAGTTGAACTGGACCCAAATAGAGAATAAAGCAATATATTGAGTTAAGGGACCCTTTTTCTGTGGTTTCTACATACCATTTTGTCTCATTTCTCTACATGTCCCTTCTGGATTTGACAAATGACATTAGCATCCTGGGTCTCACTGAGACCATGCTTAGCCCAGCAGCTGTGGGTATAACCCAAAACAACAAAATCATTCCTTCTAATCCTTCCCAGTTCCTCAGCAGTGTAATTGTATTATTGTTACCACCAGGTCTCATCTTTTGTTACTTCTGACTCATTCAGAGGTCACTGAAGTTTTAAAGTTCTAAAGCTGGTGCCAGACCTGCAACAATCCATACTAAATGCACTGTGGTGTACACTGTTATCAAGAATTACTGTCTAAAACACCAGTAATTTTGCTTGATATTATTGATGCTTACCTAGGGAGCACAGAAAGGTTTTCCTGTTTTATTCCTATAAGCTTCTTGGAGTTTTAGAGTGAATGGAAATGTCTTGTCTGTCTTACTGTCTGAGCTATCATAAAAATCTTTCTCCCCTTTTATTTGAATACTGAATTTTTCCTTCAACCTACCTACCTCTATTGTCTAACACCTATAGTAGGTGTGATTATGGGATAAAATTCAACTGAAAATGTTATAACATTTTATCTTTAAAAATGTGTTTTGTTTTCAAATAATCCTCTTTACATTGTGAATTTTGTGACTTTAGTGCTACATTTATGAAAATTTCTGTTTTACACAAATGCTGTAGCATATTTTTCCACAAAGAACAAAAAATAAAATCAAATTTTATTTTTAATTCATGATTATCAGGATTTAATTATTCAGAGTTGAAAATATTTTATTATGTTTATGCACTGTCAAGCTGTTTAATGCAGTTGTTTCGTCCAAATGTATTTATGAAAGAAATACATTATATTTATGTTTAATCATTTTCCACCTGTGTTTTTTTAAATGCTTATGATTTTTAAGTAATGATGTTGATCTTTACACATGTTCTAAGTTTTAAAATTTTGTAGATTTTTAAAAATTCTTCTCTGTTCTGTTGAAAAGTAACACACCTCCGGTTAATGTTCCGTCTTTATGCTAAATACCAAATTTTTTCAAAAGGATGGCTAAGTAAATGAAGTGGATTATTTATGATGAATGGAAGATGAAAATAATTCTATGATTAAAGAAAGAGATGCTTGAGAAATCTCAAGAGAATCTGTGGCTTATTTTCAACCTGATTTCAAATGCCCTCCGATGCCTTCCCGGTGGTTTTTGGATTCTCTGGAGCACTGTGGCACCACTTGTGGATAAATAGAGGTGGCTTCAGAGTCTCCARGCATCCAAACCCGTTCTGCCACCACAGCGTGACATTATAATTCAGAAGCAGCTCTTGCTCTTTCATTAGAGAGAGAGAGATTTTCTCTGCATCAGAGTTGAGGACCAAAAGAGCAACACACGCAACAGAAAGGACAAAATTCAGGTGCCCTGAATGCCAGCCACCCTTGTSATTTTTTTTGAGCACGAGGCAGGAGGAAACTTTAGCAAGCCCAGTGCGTCTTCCAAGAGCAAGTTACCTTGTGTGGAGTTGCATGCCTTTGTTTTCCTGTCCCTTCTATCTTCTTGTCCTCTTTCCCGGGAGCCTGACAGAAATGTCACCTCCCCGGGAAGCTTTCCCCTTCCCAGCCAWCTTCTGAAGCCCTTGCACATGCTGCATCCCTGTCTCCTCCACTGTGGAACGTCTCTGTTTCTTCTGTGCCTCACACAGTGCCTGGCTCAGAGTAATAAAAATTTCTAAAAATATGATGGGACACAAGCCTTCCAAATTATGTGCTCCCTTCCCTACACAGTGATCATTACTAAGTTAGAAGGAAAACTGACCTTTTTGCCACTACTCCTCTCCAAGGAAAGCCAGGATGCTCTGCGTGGAGCTGTTCAGAGGAATGTGCCGCTTCCTGGCTGTGTACTACTACCTCTCCCCTGCGAGACCACAGGTGTGACACGCACACAACTTTCATCTCCCGTGCTGTGACAAAAGGATAAACTCTCAATAATTCAGGCTAAGTAATTATTTGATTCAGATCGAATCAGGTTAGTTTGATCTGAATTAGTGAGGACTTTATATACATAAAAAAGAAAGGCTTTCCTTATAAAAATTCTGACATAATATTAAGACTAGGTAAAAATTATCAATAAACAAAAGGTCTTCTAAGACTTTTATTTTCTTTCATAAATCTTACACTCTAGGATAGTTTTTCTCAAATGTGAGTAAAATATTAACTTTGTTTAAAGGAGAAAAAAAGGGCTGGGGTTGTAGCTCAGTGGTCAAGTGCTTGCCTCGCATGCGTGAGGCACTGGGTTTGATCCTCAGCATCACATAAAAAATAAATAAATAAAACAGATATTGTGTCCATCTACAACTAAAAGAACTAAATGTTTAATAAATAAATAAATAGATATTCTTACAGACCCTGGAGTACTTGTCTGGCTTAAACACGAAGCACTATCACTTTAAGGGTTCATCAGTGCTGGTGTGGTTGTCGTCAGTAATGCACATGAGGGCACTGAAGTCACAGGGCCATCCTGAACCACAGATGGTCATCAGATGAGCCCACGTAGCCCTTCCCAGACCTCCACCCCCGGGGCACTCCCCTGCATCTCAAATCCCCTGATGGTTCTCCGGGGTGCACTCAACCCACCCAGGCATGAAATTTGGCTCCCATCACTGGTTTCTACAGAATTCTGGACATGCTAAATGTTGGGGTCATCCAAACTTAAAACTGAGCAGTACACATCCTGTTCTCACCACCTCCCAACRCCCTGCCACCTAGAATTCCCACAGACCTCTCCTCCCCATCAGCCCCACCTCCCCACCCTATTCCCGGCTCCCAAACTCAGACATTTAGCTGTCTTGTGCTCTCCTGACTTCTTGGACCTGCCTTGGGGCCTACTTACAACATCCAGGGGACACTTTAAAAACGCCATCTTCCCTTGATGACTAGGTAACCTGACAGAGGCTTCCTCGTTTCCATTTCCTCTGGTTTAGACTGGCTCCCATCCTCCCACCAGGCACTGGACAGGGTTCCTATGAGGACCCGTGTGCTTCCTAGACAAATCACACCCAGAGAGCAGGAAGGAGAGTAGGCGCAGGTGACTGACTCTAGGCACACTAGAGAGAGGTAGACGATATAACTGGGCCACTCACAGTGGACAAAATAAAAATGGTAAGTAGACATGTTTCCAAGTGTGGGTAAGAGAGAGATACTTCTAAATGAAATATTTTTCATCTATGAGATGGACAAAAGTTTGAAATTTAATAATTTCCAAAAAGGGGCAGGGATAGGGGGAAAGGGCACTCATGCCCTGGTAGTGGAACCCCAGCAAGATGGAATTTTGCAGAAGGCTATTTAGCAATGTATATTCTTTTCTTTTTCTTTCTTTCTATTTTTTTTTAGCAGCATCTCAACCCAGTTCTTTCATTTCCAGAATCCACCTTGCAGAAAGTGCATAATGATCTAGCAATAACTCAGAGCACTGATAAGGGCTGAAAGTACCACCCAAGTTCCCCCAAGCAGAAGATGTTTAGATAATCAATGGAATATCCTTAGAGAGTGTTTCTGAGCCATCAAAAGGCCTGAGGGTAGATTACCTTGTAATAACAACATATTGTTGAGTAGGAGAAAAAATTAAATTTCAGGAAAAGTATCCGTTTCTTTATCTGCTTTCCTCTCACATTTTGTCAACTATAGGTTACAAATGTTAAGGACACTATATAGTTTCAAAATGTTTGGAAAGATAATTATAACTAATATTTATTAATTTCTTCCTTTATGCCTGGCACTAATCCAGGCACTGTGCATTATCTCATTTAATCCTTTCAATGGTGCTATGAGGTAGGTAGTGTTATTATCAGATGAGAAAAATTATCAAGGTGTAAGTGGCTGGCTTAGAGCCACAGAATGAATAAGTAGGACTATTTGAGCCACTATTAGACTATATCTAATGGTGGTTACTCTGAGGAAACAGGAATGCAGAGGAGATGTTTAATTTTACATTTGACTTTAGTCACACTTTGATGGGGTTATAAGCATGTAACACAAAATGGAGCTACTACTTGGAGAAATACCATAATTCATGTCAGCCCTGGCCCATTTATCAAGCAGAACATCTCTTTTTGTAGAAGGAGAAGAGGGAGGAGGAGGAGGCAGCTGTCTGAAGATGGTAACTGAACTCTGGTAGGAAATGCCTGGCACGTACTTAGTAACCTGTATCAGTGGAGAGGTGATGGTGGTGGTGGTTTTTATCATCGTCTTTCACTTATCTGTTACTTTTATAATTTATTTTTGGCAATTCTAAAATATTTGCTTTTCCCATCCCAAAACCCACACCCAAAAAAACAACCATAATAAGAACATTTTTTACATTAGAGGTGTTCATCCACTTGGACAAAAATGAACTACACATATTCAACATCCACTAAGAGGTGATATAGAGAAGAAAAAGTAGAACCTTCTAGTAATAAAGACGCCAAATCACAGGCAAGCAGTTCTGTTTATGAGATGATCAGAAGAACGGAAACCCCAGAAATTTGGGGGAGGGAATACTTCCCACACAGAACATGAAATTCATTCTTAAGCCAAAATACACGTATGAAGATGTGAATTTGGTGTCAACATATCTTGTATACAGAGATATGATAAATTGTGATATAAAAGTGTATTAAGAATTGTAAGGCAAAAATCTTGAAAAAAAGTTAACATGTACTCAGATGGATGGGGGGGGATTTGCCATTGCAGGGGGCAGAGCTCCCATTGTAGCACCTGCCCATTTCTGAGGTGTAAATGCTCCAAGCTGGCCGATTTCAAGCAACATGCTGTTACTGAAGGTGGAGTTAGGAAGAGGTGTGTGCCCAGGATTGGCCCTCATGATCCCAGCATCCCGCTATGTTACAGTTACTAAATTCCTTACTCACAGTTTTCATTTAATTATTTCATTGACCCTCGGAGGAGATGCACCATTATTATCTGGGTTGCATTGGTAAGGAAGAAAACTAGCCCAGAAAGGTAAGTAGTCCAACCTCACAAATCCTACAGCGGTGGAGCTGGGATTCAAACTCAGATTTCCCTGACTTTAGGAGCCCACTGGGACCTAATCACTAAGCAGATTTCTTTCCACTCCCCAAGCCACATGGTCCTTGCAAGATTTATTTTCTCATGCTTGGAAATTCTGGAAAATAACAGTGATTTGGACCTCTACTTGAATTCTGCAACCAAGGTTTTGATAAAGGCTGTGGCTCTTTCTTTGGGTGGAATCAAAAGCCCTACAACCCAGAAATACCAGCCAATGGGAAGGAAAGAACCTGGGGTTGGTGACATATGTACCAGGCCTCAGAGTCCATGGTAGGGAAAGACACGCTAGAGCTGAAGAAATGGATCATTTCCTTGTCAACGGCTGTTCCACGCTTGCGATCCTTGCAGCCAAGTGGACTGCTGCCACTGCTAGATGATCTAGGCCTGATTCTGAGTGCTCACAACCAGCTCTTGTCAGGATGGTCTCCTGGGCTGGTTTTGCCAGCTCAGCTAGAACTTATCTTTTCCCCAACACCTGTTTACCATGACTTCCAACCCCGTTATATATCACATGTCGGGCATTCACCATGGACCCTGAGCAGCTACTCTGTGTCCACACTGAGGAAGTCCTGGTCATGCTGAACACAGGGCAAAGAGTTCACTCCTGTGCTCACAAAGCCAAAGTGACGATTGTGTGACAGACAG